TCCCCCACATCTCCCTCTCCCTTCCCCACATTTCCCTCTCCCTTCCCCACATCTCCCTCACCCTCCCCCACATCTCCCTCTCCCTTCCCCACATTTCCCTCTCCCTTCCCTACATCTCCCTCTCCCTTCCCCAAATCTCCCTCTCCCTCCCCCACATCTCCCTCGCCCTTCCCCACATCTCCCTCACCCTCCCCCACATCTCCCTCTCCCTTCCCCACATCTCCCTCTCCCTCCCCCACATCTCCCTCTCCCTCCCCCACATCTCCCTCTCCCTTCCCCACATCTCCCTCACCCTCTGCCACATCTCCCTCTCCCTTCCCCACACCACCCCCTCTCTCCCACATCTCCCTCTCCCTCCCCCACACCACGCCCTCTCTCCCACATCTCCCTCTCCCTCCCCCACACCACCCCCTCTCTCCCATATCTCCCTCTCCCTCCCCCGCACTACCCTCTCTCTTCCACATTGTCCTCCCTCTCTACCCACATCTCCCTCTCCCTCTCTCTGTCTCCCTCTCCCTCCCTCCCTCCATCTCTCTCTCTCTCTCTTGCCCCCGTTCCTCCCTCTGTACAAATATAACTATTTGAGGCAGAGCCAGGCTGTTCGGCTCTTCAAGCCCTGTTGCTCCATTCGATACTATCCCACCTCATCAGTCTGTGTTTTCTGGTTTCTACATTCCCGTCCCTCCCCTCTCCCTTGGACAACCCTCTGATCTCCTCCCGAGGGAGGCTCCCTCCAGTGCCATGTCCAAAAGACCCAACCCCGCCCTCACGCTGCCCGTCCCTCGAGGGTCCCAGATTGCCCACACCCTTTGGGAGGTAGCCCCTCCGTCCCAAGAGGACGGCGACCCCACTTTAATCAGAGCTCCGAACCCCCCCACGCCTCATTCTGCACAGACCCACACACACCCCCCGAAATAAACCTCATTCCCGCATCCACGTTTTCAAGGCCATTCCGCATACTATCCCCTCCAGTCAGCTCTCTCCCCTCCCCAGGGAAACCAGCCCCTCGCCCTGAAACTAGATCCTTTATTGCAGGTATCGATCTAGCTCCCAGAGGGAGGCGATGGCCAAGTAGTTTTATTGTTAATGAGAGATTGGGTAACATTCAGGGTCAGGAGTGGGGCCTCACATCCTGCCACAGAGTCAGAAAGTCACAGAGCTGTACAGCACAGAAACAGACCCTTCTGTCCAACCCGTCCTTGCTGACCTGATATCCTAAATTAATCTAGTCCCATTTGCTAGCATTTGGCCCATATCCCTCTAAACCCTTCCTATTCACGTACCCAT